ATAATTAAGTATTTTGTTAGAACTCAATAATTATCCTAATTATATTTTAGATTTTTTATATTTAATGAGATGTTTATCTTATATTTGATTATATTTATCTACAGTTAGTTATACGAATTCAAACATAAAATTTTAATAAGTTGTACTTATGCACAATTTACTTGTAATCTTGAACTTTAAGTAATGTGCAACAATAAACAGTACTTCCTGCATAAAAAGTGGTTTTCAAGAGTTTTTGTCAAATGCTTTATAATATAATATATATATATACTAAAAAAAACGTATGCTCAAATGGCTCGGCTCAAACAATTTAATAGAATTTTCAAACGAGTTGAGTCGAACATTGGTTTTATAGAGTTCAGCTCGTTAAGTTAAACGAGTTTTAGTGTATATTAGATTGATTCGAGTTCGACGATTACTAAGCTCAAGCTAAAGATAAATGAACTCAAATAACTCACTAAAAGCTCATAAAATATGAGACTGAACAAGACAGAACAAAATAAATATTAACTTCAATTTATTATTAAGTAGTTTTTCTTCTTAAAATATATGTTTAAAATAAAAATATATAATTTTAAAAATGCATAACTATTAATTTTTGAATTAATTATATGATAATTTTGCTTCTAATAATTAAAGGGTAATAAATATCTTCAATCTCATAACTGAGGGTAAAATTTGAAAATGTTGAAGGATATCATCATCGAAAGCATCAAAATTACCACTCGTTAAATGATGCGTTTCTTTTCTACGAACTCCTCATCACTGAATGATGAAGTAAACGTATTAGATTAGATTAGATTAAAATTAATGTATCTTATAGTTAACAACTTGTAAATGAGCGTAGAATTTACTGTTTCTCGATTATCTCTATATCAGTATTTGTTGTCGCGCATTGGTGCAATGAGTGACAACACTACTTTTTGTGCGTTAAATAAATATATTATTTTGAAATAAAAAGTAGAAAATATATTAAAATATTATGATCAAAATGTAATCAAAGTTATCTTGTCCGGTTTTCTCCAACCACTACAATGACTTCAATTTCACCTACATTTACGCATCCGCATAATTAAATATCACATAAAAAACATTATTTTAAGGAGTTAGATTAGAAAAGTTGGACATGAATATAATAAACATATAATTCAGATTTGAAAACATGACATGATCATTATGTCGTCATTAACACGTGATTCAACTAAGTTTTGATAAATAAACTTGAATCAATCTATCAAAACTTTCACAATACCTTGTTAATTACTATAAAACAGTCGGTAATTGGTTTTGCTTTCAATTACTGTAAACTTTCTAAGACGATGCAGAACACCGTCATTTAGTAGATGATGAAATCTTGAAAGTGAGTTTTTATGCACTGTTACATGTATTAATTGAGTTTTCCTATAAATAAAACATAACATTGAAAGAAAAAAAAAGTTAGACAAATTAGAAAAAAATTCTAATGCCATGAAGAATTTCATTATACCTTCTTATCAATTAGAATTATGTCTGGATAAATAAAAAATCATTTAATTAATTACTTCATATTCAAAAGTAATAACAAGGGTGATGTCTGATTGGTTTGAGCTTGACTTCAAAGGTCAAAAGTATCAGGAGGTCCCAGGTTCAAATTCAAGGAGAAATAAAAATCTCTTGTGGCCATGGAGGTTCAAATGTGGTGATTCCGGACTATCTGCAAAGCAGGTGATCGTCCTGAGATTAGTCATCTCACATAGCGGATTGAATATCCAGGTTAATAAAAAAAAGTTTTTTTTTACATAAATAAAATAAGAATGATCATTTAATATTTAAAATTATTCAAAAACTATAGAGAAGGTGAAAAGTTTGCTCATTTAATAGCAATTTTTATTCAAAACTAAATAAAAACTATGAAAAAATAGAAACAATGAATCAAGCTTTCTTAACATGCCATGTCTATTTTTTATGATTCTACTTTATATATAGATATAGAGATTTGGGATCACATGAGACCAACTTGTTTTTGTGAAACCCGTAAGAACATTTTTTTATACTTGAAATTTCAGAGCAAAACGCTGTGAAGGTAACATTCACAGTGTTTTAATGTGAATGTTGGACTTTTTTTTACCTTCACAGCGTTTATAAAAACATTTATATATCACAATAAATTTAATGACAAGTTTCAAGTGTAAAAAATGGTTTGAATTTTTTTTCACCTTCACACATTTATAAAAACATTTATATATCTCAATAAATTTCATGACAAATTCATGTGGATTGAATTTGGTTATATGTTGATTTTTTATTTGTTATATAATTACTTGGCATCTATTTATAGTAAGTATTTCACTTGCATGGCATCTATTTATAGTAAGTTGAAAGCGGCCGAAAAAAAGTATCAAAATACCAACTTGATAACTTCACATATCCATTTTGAATGATTGATTCAATTACGTGTCTTTTTGGTTTATGTTTACATTTGGGAAACGTTTTCTTATTTTAAATGGTTTAATTTTAAATTTATTAAAAAAATATAATGATTTAAATTTTCTTACAATTATTTTACTCAATAAAAAAATATTATACTTATCCTTTTGAATGGTCAAATTTTTGAATAAGTTTTTATAAACAAATCTTTCTAGAAATTTATTATTTATATTCTTTTAACGCAAAAAAAAAATTACACATAACTGATCAGCAAAAGTTTGATGCTTTATTTATTTCAGGGTCAAAATTATTTAAAATGAGAAAATTTACTGGTTTTTAACGGAAAAACTAGTTCGTAGAGTTCTTTCAGGTCTTTCAACTAATGGATACGGTCTACGAGAGCAGTTTCTGTTAAATCGAGCAGTTTTTTGGAATTTTACATCAATTTTTATTAATCTGCTATAAAATTTAGAGTGGATATTAACTTGTGGAAAATGACTAGGCAAACAAAATTCATGACCTACTTAAGCTTTTAGATTAAACCACATTCAAACGTCTTTTTCGGTTGCCAAAAACCGACCTATCTATGATTAGGGTTTTTTAAAACCACTCATTTATGTATTTCTATTTTTTTTATTAACCTGAATATCCAACCCGCTATGCGAGCCGACTAATCCTAGGGCGACCACCTGTTTTGCAGATATCTCGGAGTCACTGCATTGTGACCATAAGAGAATTTTTATTTCTTTTTGGATTTGAACCTGAGACCTTCTGATACTTTTGATCTTTAAAGTCAAGCTCAAACCAATCAAACACCGTAATTGTGGTTTGTATTTCTATATATTAATAAAAGAGAAAAACAAAAGCAGGTGAGTTGCAGGCCGGTAGAATTAAAGTCATGATAAGGTCTACCAATTGGACGGTTGAGATTTAAGCAATAATTTAGTGATTGCGTTAGTAGTAGATCTTGAGTTATTAGCTACAGACACTGAGCATTATATAGAGCCAGCCATTCCATGAGCCATGACAACATAAAAATATATGTAAGGTTATGTCTTCTTACTTACAGTTCTACCTTCTTTCTTTCCTTGCATTCTTCTTTTTGATACTATTTATCTTCAAATGGGTTTCATTTCA